TTGCTTCACCCTCCTCTAAAATGAGAATGATTGCAAAACAATTCTTGTGACTTGGTGAGAGTATAGTCCAATATATTCAGAATATGTGGTTGGAATTTCAGATATTTAAAAATGAAGTTTTTGAGATACACTCATTTGAAAAAAAAATGTTTTAGACATAACTGAGCTAAAAATGGAGCTATTGCCTTTTACTAAAGATTTTTTGGAAGATTTTCTCATATATTTTGAGACAGTCGGTCATTTTTTCGATCATGTCAAAAATTAGAGTGTACAGAACTGTTTTTCAAATTAGGGTCAAAAATATAAAAAAAAAACATTAAAAAGTGAAAAAATCATAACTTTGATATGAATCAATATTAAGGGCTGAAAATTGAGGAACATTTTGTTTTTAAATCACTGGTATTGGAAATATATCGGTGACCAAATCCCTGTCATCCATTTCTTCCAGTGGTCGATTTGACGGGGATCTGCCCACATTGCTTCTGAAATATGATTCATATGCTTGAAATGTGTGGACAGTTTCTATAAAAAATACAACTTTGTTGAAACATTACAGCCTTCAATTTCCCCTAATCTTTGAATATTCACTAGGATCTTTTCCACCAGATCATCATGGATTTCTGATAAGTGGGGTTATTTTGTGAGATGATGGACTTCTAAAACGATACATTTACTTTTCCGTAACTAGAACATGAAATGTTAAAAAGTTATGATGTCAATAAATTCGTGGAAAGTGGAATAATCAGGAGAAAAATCTCCCATGATTGTATACGGCTCGATTAACATTCGTGTCACACATTCTCAAATTGTTGCGTTCTTCTTCGACTAGGTAAAAGTAACGCTTCAATTGTTCTTTTATTGATGTCATTAAGAAAAATGTTCCCTAATGTTTCCATCAATTCTCCGAATTTTATTGAAGCTACCGAATTTATATTGTCCTTTTTGCAGTCGTGCATTGATCTAGTACTGGTAATTGAGATAATTAAGGAAATGCAAAAGGAACTGTTAATTGATTCAACGGTTGAAAGAGTATAACTGTCATTCAGGGTGCAATTAAGATGACTTAATTTGATTGTTTATTATTAAAATTTTTGTGAAAAAGAAATTACGGTGTTTTGAAGGCAGATGAATATTTCGACTTGATGATGATCATTCCTTTGTAAATGTGTGTTATATCCAATTCTTATTACGCCGATGAATCTTAATGCTCAGTGAAACGTAGGACTTAGAAATATGAGCCTCTCCGTAGCAATCTGAAATTACAGCATATATAAGATTTCTTCTGAAGCTTCCGACATGAGAATCACTAGAATGTTAATAATTGCAAAACTAGAAGTTGAAGTTTATATCGAGCAGTACAATTTTCACACTATTCAGGTAGACTATGAACCATATGTCTACTGACTGAACAATGACACGTATCGCATGAGAATAAAACAGCCAAACTTGGCCAATAAAACCACAAAAATTCAGAGTATCTCTTCGCCTTTTTGTGCGCTGTTAAATCAATAATTTAAGAATTTATTTTAAAAATGCAATTGTTAAATTAGAATTGTTGTTTAATAGCGTGAGCAAAATTTGACATTGCTGGTTTTGGTAATGATATGGAAAATGGAAACCAGAATTAACCAGAATTACAATTGCCAGCAAAGTATAGGCTGAAAAATATCAGGACCTACATGTACATTAATTGTACAATAAGGGGGAAGAAGAAGACACAGATAGATTATGGGAGAGGGTGGTCGAATTAGCTAAAATTATAATGAACAAGCTGGCAGACACGCTTCCGGCTGGATTCGTTTCACTGGATGAGACTCGTTAGAATTAGTAAATCGGACCACCGCATCAGAATTATTATCAAGTATTAGCACTACTCACTCTTTGTGAAAAATTTATCGGAGCAATCAAAACTTGCCAGCTGCACCTATATATGAAGAATATAATTAATCCAATTTGAGATTGGTAGGAGAAACATTACGATCTGGATAACAAATGATTTTTGTTCGTGTGATGATTATTTTTTGCAATGAGAATGAATAGTTATTATAATGTATTAACAATATCTTCAAGTGATTGGTGCACGTATATTGGTTCAAAAATGTTTTGTATATTCTCAAATGTTCCACATATAGTTCTAACGAAGGTGATTATTGTTGATGTGTCTCCCTGGTTGGAGATCAATCTTGATGATTGTATGGAAGTTACGAAGAATGTGTTTGTAATGTCGGAGACATAGTATTGAAATTAATATTGTCCAAAGTGAAACGAAAAATATAAGTTTTGAGGCTAGTGGAAATATCGGACTTATTAATTCATAGTTATTGATGTTACGAGACAGGGTAGTACTCCTTACTAAGGTTGGCAACGCTATTTCCCGTTGCATGAATAAACTATTGTTTGTGACGTCAGTGACGAAAATTGCGCTGCCTGTTTGGAGTCATGGAGTTCTTGCAGGAAAAAGAAAAACTACGCAAACTTCTGACGTATTGACATTATATAATTGATAGAATCAAATGTTCACTCTTGTGTGGAGGAAATTCAGGTACGTATTCCTTTTTACGAAACTCGAATTGTCAATCGGCAACTTTTTCCATTATCAAAATACGTATCGTTAATGCTACGTGAATTTAGAGAAGACAAAATGCTATTTCTGATTTAAATTTTGAATCTTATCGTCTGTTTATTGTTGTAGTTGAATTCGTATATGTTTAGAAACAATTCCAGCTGAATCTGAGTTCAGGCACTCACATGCACCTTTAAGTGAAGATTTCCCAATTTACTGCTCCTGTTTTCGTACAATTCCTTGTTTCTTCCTTCTATCACTCCATTCCATCACTCATCAGACAACAGACATGAAAACATCTAACAGATGTGGTAGGTTAGGTCTAACAATAAGGCTTGTCAGACCATAATTAACAGTATTATCATTGGCTTCCGCAAGGAAGCATCGTGCCTGACACCAAACGCGACACGTGGCATTGGGGCTACATTGAGAAAAAAATTTATCAGATCCAACTACACAGATTCAGTTGATGAATTTCAGCTCATACAAACTGAAGTTCAATTCTCTCAGTTCCTATTGAGTTGAAACGATTTCCGTGAATCATTTGCTTCAACTAAATTTTTTGATTGAACTTCCAACTGAATCTACGATTGGTATAACCGACGGGAGGGTTGAGGTAATACCCTTGTAAATGACCTGACGCGGCCAACCTCAACTACCTGCTTGTATTGGTTCGATGAGACTAATGATTCGCTTGACGAAACATGAAGGAACGATCATTTAAATTTTGTAATCACGTCGTTCCCCATTTTTTATGACTCGCATTTGGGGGGAGAAAACTGATTTTCTTTTTTTTTTTTCTAATTATTCGACAAAAAATCAAGATGGTGATTCATGCATGACATTTTCTCCCATCCAAAACCGAGTTATAAAGAAATCGCCAAAAATTTATCTCCAAATTGTTCCAGGACTTGGAAAAAGTGGGGCCGCCCCCCCTTAAAGTAAACGAAAAACACTAGAGTTCTTCGAACTTAGTTCGAGGGACGGAAGGCATAGGAGGGATGGGCCGTGGATAATGAAAAGGAGAGATTATGAGGTTTCTTTTTACAATATGCAAAATGTTGATGCTAAATATAATGTATGTGACAGCAGGTGTGGAAACACATAATCGACTATGATATGCAGGCTTCGTCTCTATTCAGATGCGTTTGAATGAACTTAGGTATCCAGAGACTAAGGGGATGACAGGCGAGCATCGATCGTTGCAACGAAACAATACAGATCGACACCGTATTTCTAAAAATTGCTGAAATGGAAAGAATGACGTCTGCCTATACAAAATATACCCTTATTCTTTGGGACTATTTATGGTCTCGATCGTTCCTTGAAGAAATGATTCGATGCTTGAAGGGTCCAAGCAAGTACCTGGGGTACGTATACCTGAGTGCCCGGTACCGGTTGATGACGTCAACGGGATTTCCCCGTGGAATAGCAAATCGGATGTTTGGTAGACACTTTCGGCTAACCAATGACGAATACGAATTAATTCCCGCAAAGGTCTCCCACCCCCTTCGATCTACCCCCATGGAAGGATAGTGACGCCACTTAAGACGTCACCGTGGCGCATATCGTTTTTATTTTCATTACAAGGTCACCCGGCGAGTTAATCGCATCTTTCCAAGCAGGGTTGGGCAACTTTGTATTTATTAATTACTAAGTACCCAAGTACAAAAATACCTAATAATTATTCAATCACAAAGTACTAAGTACATCAATATTTACTGCTGTGACACCCAAGAAATACTAAGTATTTCAGTATTTAGTACTTTACCACTCCATAAATACCAAGTATTCCAGTATTTAGAAAATGGGTAGATATGTAGTTTTCGTCAAGTCCTGACAAATTTTCTGTGTATCCATCGAGTTTAGTATTATTTTTTTTTTTCATTCACTGAAAAAAGCACTCAAATTACCAAAAACATATATTAAATTTCGGCCAGTAAAACAGTAAATTTTCAGTTTCTAACGAGAAAATCCTAAATCAAAACAAAATTTATAATCATTGTGTAAAAGATTATTGCCAGGAAAGTAGATATTTAATTTTTTTATTATGACTACTGTTTACACCACAATGTGCATTAATATTGTGATGGGTACAATCATGATTAAAATAACCAGAGATAACGAATTGAAATACTGAGTATTGCCTTGTTTTATCGAGAATGTCTTGATTTATTCTCTTTTCAATTGTAGGAAATAATTAAATTAAGAAGAAATTGAATTTGCGTGCACCCTTAACCGACTTTGGCATACTTCACAAAAGTGAGTCTAACCTAACTTCTGCCGTAAACGAAGGTAGCCGAATATAGACGAGCCGCTGAAAGCAAATCATAAAGTGTTTACAATTGTAAAGCCGGTATTCAAACAAAACTACCTCTCGCAGTTTATTACTTATGGTCCAATTGTGTTTTCCTCCCATTTATGATGAAATGAAAATATGGAAAACAAAAGTCAAGAGCCCAACGTTAGTAAAGACAGTCAACTACAAGCTGGTGTCGTAATGAGTTCTAGTGTATTGTATGATGTTGAGACAGATTCCATGTGTGCAAATGAAGACAAACAAACAAGAAGAAAAAAACGTGAAGATGATGCTGAGTTACAAATGATGAATGAAGTCGAGCCTGAAAAATATAAAACGACGATGAACAGGTATAATAAAAAATTGGAAATTGAAGAAAATCCTACAAAATCTGAAGAAATTGATTTGGCTGATGATGTCAATTCTAGCACAAAGGAGATTGACGAAATTGTTGACAATTCACAGTCCGAGACTGAAAACGATGAACGAAGACTCTCTCAATCATTTGGGAAGACAATGAGTCTTTCTCAATTGGAAAAATTGAATTTATCAGAATTTTCCTCTACTTCAACATCAAGCGGTCATTTATCAGACCTCCACGACAATGACCTGATGATGGATTTGTTTGAAGACAATGTTAATAACAATCGAGTAACATCATCGCAAAATTCAACTAGTATGAAAAACGATAGTCAAGAAACATCATCACAAAATTTAGCTACCAATGACAAAGAAGATGCAGTAACTTCATCCCAAAAGTTATCTGACAATGAAGAAAAATTGTTGATTGAAAATCAACGGATACTAGAATTGCAAACAAAATCTGCTACACGTGCCTATGCTGATGGTCAATTTTTCAAACCCATCATGGAGAAAACATTTTTGAATAGTTCCATCTTTGTTGGATGTCAATTGTGTTCCGATAAGTAGATAATCTACGCCTCCTTTGCAGCCCCATCAAATTTGATTAAACACCTGAGGGTAATTATTGCTATTATTACAATCATTCTTTTCTCTATGTCCAAATTATTTCCAAACAATTAACAACCCCTAGAATCATCAATCCCAAACTACCCCTAAGTCAGAAACAAGCATAAAAATTCCCAAAAGAAATTAAGACTCATTCCAATATGACTAAATAAAATAAAATAGTATCCAGGCCACTTCCTGACACACCAAAAATTCTTTACCCTGTCGCAATAAACGTGCATCAGCACCTGTCGAAATTCTCCCCCTGGAAATTCTCCACCGGAAAACCAAAGCACTCAGGCCCCCCTCATACTAAATCGATAATTAAGAAAACAGTCGCGAATAAATCAGAAAACTAGCACATTCTCCGATCATCGACAATTCAGGTAAATCAACATCAAGTCGAATAAAGTCAATTTGCCGTAATAGCCCCCAACAGAAATCAGTAAGCCTAATTTCGAGGGAGGTCCGCTGACTGCCTACGATCGCTACCGGATAGTTGATCGATTTGATTATTGGAAATTTGAGTTGTCAAAAATCCCTCATCTAAATTAGCAAGAATATCACTGTCTCTAGTATCCAAAAAAAAAGAAGAGATACGAATTTCCAGACCTAAAATTATGCGTACGAACCGGTTAAGGCATTTATGACTCCAAACGCCTTACGGTATAAGTGTGTGTATTTACAAACAATTCGGCACAAATATTGTAAAAGATTTCAAAAACATAGTAAGCTGTAAATTCTTTGTAACACTGCGAGAGAGAGAGATTCCAGTGAGCATCTCTAATAACAACTTGTACTTCGTAAGGAGGCAACTCAACAGCGAAAACGTAAGTAAAATTAAATATAAAACCATTGTAAAATGCAAACCGTGTAAATCCCGATATTTCGGAAAATCAATCAAATCGCTCTGTTATAAACCCGGAACCTATTCAGAAAATCTATAATTAAAGGTAAAGATTGTTCCAAAATGGCTTTAATCATTTCTGAAACTGCCTTCAAAAACCTAACAACGAAACTTTCAGCCCTATATTTGCAAAAGAAAATGAGGTAAGAGTGTGAACGAAAAAAATGCTCATAAAAATTCGAGAAACCGCGATAAGAAACATTTTATCGCACATTATTTTTATTGTTTACCAAGGAGCTTACTCAACCTAGGAAAAATGAAGACGCAACAGCTGAATTTTCATAACTCAGGATTTCCCGCCTGAAAATCCTTCGGACATAACAAATAAAAATTGGTGGCTGTGATGGGATACGAATGAGCATCCCACATCTCACTCGCACCGTTTTCTTTCCTTCACTTACAATAAATCTCATTTCAAGTTTTCAATAGAGAAAAATTCGCAGTTTCAATAAAAATGGCATCAGTCACTTTAAATAACGAATCGATGTGTAAAGAAATTGACGAGCAAGAAAGGGAACGAGCCTCTAGAATATTAAATTGGATTCCTTTCTTTAGTGGCCGTAAAGGAGATCAAATTAAATTTGAAGATTTCGAAAAGGCATTTTTACATGTTCGTCACATGATTCCGGATAATAAACATAGCCAATATCTCCCACACATTTGCTTAAAATTAATAGGATCAGCTCGCGAACTAATCACTTTAGTACGTTTCAAAAACATTGACGAATTATTAGATCATTTGAGAAATCGTTACGCTAAGAGATGTAGCGAAACTTCCACTAGAGAAGACTTGAAAAGTACCCCCTGGTACTCTGACGAAAATTTGGTTGATTTCCTAAATAGATTAAAAAGAAATCACAGAACTGCATTACAAGCAGCAGTAGCCGAACGCGGTGATGGGACGGCCGAAGCATTCAAAAAAAGGTTAAACCAAGTAGCTGTCAGGCGTTTCCTTTCCATGGCACCTCGATCTTACGACATAGCTAAAGTCTTAGATGACGAACGTTCCTTCGAAACTAAATACCGATGTTTTGGCGACAAAGATAAGACCTCAGAACGTCCTAATAATCCCTATCCTCACGACAGAGATTCCGACCTAAGGTTTGCCCGTTTTGTCCAAAATCAGATGTATACAGGCGAAGGTTATTATCGGAACAGATCACGGGGCCGCTCGCAAAGTAGAAATTACAGGGGCCCACCGGCCGGAACATCAGGAAGTACCACCGAGACTCGCGAAGAGACAGTGCTAGCCATTGATAAAGCCATTCCCCCTCCACCTAAACCTGCCCAAAAACCCTCTGTGACAGATCAATCAATAAATGAATTAAAATTAATGCTCGCGGAAGTGATTAAAATCCAGAAAACTAACTCAGAATCCCGCCATCGCGATCGATCAAAGTCCAGACACAGGTCAAAACATTCCAAATCGAAAGATCACTCGAGCAGAAAATCACGCAGATCCCCGTCGAGTTCGGAAACCAGTAGTAGTTCATCCTCATCCGAATCAGAAGAAGATACCCATAAAAAGTCCAGAAGTAAGTATTCGAAGTCCTCCAAGTCGCATGAAAAGTCTAAACATACGAGCCGTAAAAATCGAGATGAAAAGTCAGCTCCCTCATCTCGTGATCAGTCCAAAACCAGGTCCTCGAGCCAACATTTAAACGGGGAAACAGCTCGCCGTTCCGACGCTGCAACGGGCCAAGCGAAAAAGCGTCCAGACTCCTATATTGTCGCCGCAGGTTATGCCCAGATGAAAAAGATGCAGAAGTCATAATTTGTAACGTCGGCAGTGGTCCACAAGTCACCATTTACGGACCACACCTCCATCGCGAAGGTGCCAATGCCCTTTTAGATACCGCAGCAAAGGTGAATCTAATTTGGGTCAATGCACTCCGGCGAAATATTGAAATCAACAGGTCCGAACGAATTCTTATTGCAGGTTTTTCGCAAATTCTGATTCGAGCAATCGGATTCTTTAGTATTTGCATCGACCAAACGTATGTAAAATTCCACGTCATCGACATTGCACCCGGCCGTTGCAAAGCACTCCTGAGTCATCAGTTTTTCACGCGCGAAGCCGCACGTATTTCCTACTGGGAAGAAACTTTAACTTTAGCATCTAACCCTACTAGGCCCAACCATTTTTGTTCGGACCACTATAGACTAGCTCGCAAGGAAACTCAAGTATGGGTTTGCCTATCCGGCAGGAGCCCCAAAGTAAATTTAGAATGCCCCCAGCTCATCGACAGAAAACAAAGATTCTTGATAGATACTGGCGCCCGAATGAATCTCGTAGAACTCCACGCTCTGAAATCATACATCCCTATAGACACTTCAGAAGCAATAGAACTGCGCGGAATCACGATGGACACCTTATCGACAATAGGAACTACAAAACTTAACATTTTAGGAACAACGTCAACTTTTCACGTAGTAGACTTTACTCTACCGACTGACAGCATAGCTATCCTCGGAAATGAGTTCCTAATTCAGGAAAAAGCCGCAATACAGTACGGCTATCAAATCCTTCTCTTAGCTAGAAATCCAACTCATCCGATAAATTGGTATTTGGAAATCAAACCAGACTCCACAATGACCGTTCCCCTGCGTACTCGTATGGCATTTCCCATTAGAACCTCAAAACCAGAAATAGAGGCAGGATTCATCTCCCAGATAGAACTCGACGAAGGACTTTTCGCCGGTGAAGCGGTCGTACCGGTTCAGGAAAATGAGATAGCCGTTGTTATGGTAATTAACACCACCACAGAACCAGCAAATGTCGAGATACCTCCTCAAGAACTAATACCTTACGAGTTCCGACTCGACACCGAATTAAGAGAGGAATCTAGCTCCGACGAGCCGAACTCATCCTCCGAAACCGAAGATTCTAAAAGGAAGTTAAGTACCTCCGAACGAATAGCGAAGTTGAAAGAACTAGTCCGCACCCATGGGTTTAGCAAACCGGAAGCTCAACAAGTAGAAGAAATCATCACAGAATTTCACGATATTTTCTTTCTCCCTAGTGACCCACTAGGCTGCGCGAAAGATATTACCTGCAAAATTAACACCACAGATTATAAGCCTATCCATAGGAAACAATATAGGTACCCTATGGAACATCGGGATGAAATAAATAAGCAAATAAATAGAATGCTCGAGCAAGGTATAATCGGTCCCACGGAATCGTCTTATAATTCACCGCTGTGGATAGTCCCGAAGAAAGCTGACTCCCAAGGAAACAAACACTGGCGATTAGTCATCGATTTCCGTGACCAAAATAAAAAGAGCATCGGAGACTCATACCCACTGCCCGATATTTCGGAAATTCTTGACAAACTGAAACAAGCGAACAATCAGAAACGGAAGAGCCTGGAAGAATGGAAGAAGGAATCGTAACCGAAGATATATTGATCGACGACGTATTCTCACCGCTACCCTGAAGGAACGCCGCTCCAGCGCAATTGACCACGTCACCGAAGGTGAATGTCTCCATCGATCCTCCCAGAATCACCGACGTCGATCCCGCGGTAGTAATACAACTGCTACCCAACGAAAATCCAACTAAACAGGATCCGGAAGAGCATCCTACCCCATCCTCTTCACAGCTTGAGCTACATCAATCGCCTCGAGTGAATGCCGAAGAGACCGTCCTTACCGACAAGGAAGTTATCGATGAAATGCTCCAAGAGGAACCAGTCAAACATATCCCGGATGAAATAAAAAGGAGTGTCAAGGAAAGTATACTTAAGTTCGACAAATTCCTGAAAGAATTTCCATCCGAATACACTCCCGAGGAAAAAGAAGACCTCAGAGAAAATTCGCTCTATACGCGGGAACAGGACCCTGAATGGATAGATCAACTCCCGGCCAAAGAGACATTAAATGAAGAAAAGCCTGAAGAGGACGAGGAGCCAGAACCTGAGGAAGACAACGAAAACAAAATTGAGGACCAAGAAAAGGAAAATGAAAGTGGTAACGAAACAGACGAACATCCAAGAAACCAAGGTTCGCTACACGACACCACCTCCCTACCAGAAATTTCAATTTTGAAAAAACGACACTCAGTCATACCTCAGAAAAGCAACAAAATAGTCTTCTTCGCTCTGACGCCTCAACAAAAAGAAAAGCCTTTGGCCAGGTCAAGCCCACCAGAAGATGATTCCACACTAGACGACACACTCGTTCCTGCGGAAGATACGATGTCCTCATTTACTGTCTCCCCCGGCTCAACCCATCGACGCCTCAGAAGACTCTCGGGACCTCTACATGAGCTGAGAACGCAGATGGACGCGTTACGCCAACAACACGGCATGGACCCCGCTCCCCCTACCTCTGACGATGTACGAAAAAATTCGGACCACCCAGAGAACTCGGAAGAAGCACTAGAAATACCGAGGAGAGTTCCAAATCCATACCTTGAGCCAACAGTCGACCAAGCATTCGACGGCGGCGGAACCCTAATCACCGCTCCCTTTCCAGACTAACCACCTACTACCTCAGAATCAATCCCAGAGATCCAAGAACCAAAACCTAGAGCTCCAAATACACTCGACGACAAGACACAGATCGAGAAAAAGCTCTACGAAAAGTATGAAGCCCCCTTTCCCCTAGGAGATGACGCTCTCCTACAAAGTGAAGACCTAAAATACAGCAGAGACGGACTAACTTTCGAAAAAGACCATATAGCACATTTTACGTCAGTCGATCTCATCCCTAACAGCGGAACTGGGAAACTTCTAGAAGATCTGAACTACATAGACCGAGAAACTCTACTGAAATCAGAACCAAAACTAGGGCAAATTCTGGTACAGAAGAAGGGCAAACACAATACCTTCCTAGTGATCGTCAAACGAACTCAATACAACCGAGTGAAACCTTCGGAGTTAAAACTTTGTCTCGACAATTTGCACTACGCCCTCAAGGTTCATCTAGTCACATCCCTCCGTATGGCCGAGACCGACAATGAACTCAAAGACATAGAAAATCTCCACTTATACCTGAAGAAACAATTCAACCGAAGTGACATTGTAATTACCTTATGCAAAGGTAACATACAAATGCCTGAACCAGCCCTCCGCTCGGAGATCATAAAAGAAAATCATGATTCACTCATGGCGGGTCACAAAGGAGTAGTCAAAACATATCTACGAATAAGAGATCGCTTTCACTGGTCAGGAATGAAGGCGGATATAGAAAATTATATCAGGAAATGTAAAATTTGCCACTTAGCGAAACTCAGGCGTATCAAAACCAAACAGCCGATGCAAATAACTGATACCCCAACGAGTTGCTTCGACAAAATATCCATGGACATAGTTGGACCACTTCCCAGAACACCGTCTGGAAACATGTATATCCTCACCATTCAGGATAACTTTTCCAAGCACTGCACTGCTGTCCCTATGCCAAATGCCACGGCCATAGAAATTGCCATCGCCTTCCTAAACTTTTACGTAACCATCTCTGGTTGCCCCAAGACCATCCTTACAGACAGAGGAACAAACTTCACTAGCAAGCTCATTGCTCACATGGCAAGAATCCTGAGAGTCAACCATATTACGACCTCCGGATACCAGCCGCAGAGTAACAGAGCCCTAGAACGAAGCTATCATGTCCTAGTTGAGTATTTAAAAACCGTGTGCAAAGAAAATAGTAGCTGGGATAACCTTCTCCCTTTCGCGATGTTCTCATATAACACCACGGTTCATAGCGCGACAAATTTCACCCCGTACAAACTTCTATACGGTAAAAGAGCGCGCGCCCCATACGCCATACACGAAATCCCTGAAATCGACACATATGAGGATTACCTAATCGACCTGGTAACCCATTTGGCTAACATACAACTGATGGCGACGAAAAATTGAATTAAAGCCAAAGAAAAATCAAAAGAATACTACGACCGTGATGCTAAACTGGTAGATTTTGAACGCGGAGAATTCGCGTATGTCCTAAAAGAACCGCGGACTGGAAGATTCGACGACCAATACATCGGACCATTCAAAATCGTAGACCTGACGATCAGAGGCGACATAATACTGGAGACCTTCGAGGGCACACGGTTCATGAAACACCCAAATAAGCTGAAAAAGTGCCCTAATCAACCACGACATCTTTCCAGCTCATTCCTAAACAAAAAAAATTAAAAATTAATTACTAACACTGAGGACTCATAGAAGTTCGACAAAAAAAAATTTCTCTTCTGTTGTTAGATAACAAATGAACTAAAAAGTTGATGCCTTCCCCCACACGGGCCTAGAAGTCACCGCAGGGGGACGAGTGAACGTCTACGTGGACGGATCATGCAGTTACAATGGCTACGCCAACGCCACTGCTGGAATAGGCACTTGGTTCGGGGACAATCATTCCTGGAACACCTCTTAGACACTGAAGGAAGCCAGAGCCACCAACATTGTGGCTGAAACCCTTGCCGCAATCGAGGCCATTAAAGTCTGCAAAGAAAATGACATCCAGAAATTGAGAATAATAACCGATTCCCAATATCTCATCGACTGAGCACTCCAATACATGGGAAAATGGAAGGAGAATGGGTGGCGAAATCCAAAAAACAAACCAGTGGTAAACCAAGAGCTACTCAAGGTGCTAGATCAGAACATGGACGAGATAGATGTCATCTTCCAATACATCCCAGGATATCAGGGATTCTATGGAAATGAGCAAGCCGACCGTCTAGCCAAAATCGGCTCAAAAATCCTCAACGAAACGAAGGGCCGCAACCAGCAGAAGCTAAATAAAACGGCCCCTAACAACTCG